CGCCATTCTGGTACTGCTGCTGGAAGGACAGGGCAGCCCCTCAGCTCTCCGGTGCTGACAGACAGCAGCAAGCCTGCAGCGCCCCGTCACCGGGCTGCACCAAGGAGCCGGGTGCTCCTTGCCCCTCAGGGGCTGCCCGGCACACGTCCAGGCCCCCTCCTACCTCCACGACACCGAGCGGGGCAGGATGGGCCTCCCCAGGCTGGGCAGCCGGCTCCGCGACAGACAGGGGTGCTGATGGAGTGGGGCTCTTGCGAACCTCCTCTTGCTTCTTCTCCCAGTAGTTGCGGTTCAGGTACCGAGCCAGCTGCCATGGAGAGAAGGAAGATCAGCATCGTGCTCCACGGGGAGTGAGCCTGTGCCATGGAGTGGTAGCACCTGGCTCCTTACCTCCGGGTCAAAATCCTCAGCCAAGGGAGCAGAGGAATTCTGGAAACAGACAAACAGGGAAACGTGGTTCAGAGAAACAGCAGACTTTCAGCTCCCACATAATGTCCTGCTCAGACTTGGCCAGGGGCAACCCAGTGCTGAGCACCAGCAAGAGCCTGGAAGGGGTCAGCCACCTCCTCCTGTGTGAGTGCAGACCTTGCTGACAACACAGCAGTGCTGTGAAAGAGCGAGGGGCTGAACAGGGCAAATCTCTTCTGTCAGAGCAGGGACTCAGCCTCACACAAACAGGGCAGACTCAGGACAGGGACGCAGCCCGTGTCCACCTGAATCACGTTCAGGGGCTGCCAAGAACATACCACGGGCGGGGAGTAGAGCGTGCTGACCGGGGGAGCCGAGGACGTGACAGGAGCGGGCTCAGCCTTCGGGTACATGGAATAGGTTGTTTTCTGCCTCTGCAAAACAGCAAAACCAGACAACTTGGGGCCTGCCCAGGCTCTGGTCAGCAGCAGACAGGGCACAGCAGGGGGGTGAGTTCCAGGCATGACAGACCCAGCCTCACACTCTGCACAGTTCCCACAGGCCAGTGTGTCCCTGGGCTTGCAGCTTGGGCACAGCTTGCTTCCAGGATTTGGGACTACAGCACACGCCTGGCTCCACTGTCACTCCCTCATTCCGCAGGCCCTGTGACTCACTCACACCAGACGTGCCCAGGATGTTACTGCACACTGGGAGATGCCCAGCCCATCACCCCCCAGCAGGGCACAAACCATTCTCTCCTTCTCCTCGGCCTCTGACTGAGACAAGGCAATAGCGAGCTGCAGCTCCTCCTCCTCTTGCAGCGCTGTCTCATCACGCTTTGGAGGCAGCTGTGAGCAGGACGAAGAGCTGGTCAGTAACGGGACACCAAACAGGTCAGGATCACTACAGCACCCATAGGCAGCCACTCACCTGGGACTGCTGAGAGAGGGGACTGGTCAGGTACTCGGGGGGCAGCTCAGAGGTGGCAGCAGCTTTACCCTCAGCTTTCCTGTAGTCAGAAGGAGGTGACAGTGCAGGCTGAATGCTCCTTCCTCTGCACCAGAGCCCCAGCACTGCATAGCACTGCAGCTGAAACCCCCATTCCCAGGAGGACGGGAACCCAGTCCAGTATGGGGAACCCTCACTCTGCTCTGCTCAAAGCTTCCCCCTCACAGGCCCAGCTGCTGCAGGCAAAGAAACACACCACAAAGGGTACTGACTTGTTGAGATGCTCGTAGCAGGGCTCGCAGACCCTCACTTCCTTCTCAATCCCGAACTTTGGGATGGTGGAATACTTGGAAGAGCACTTCCCACAGAAGATCTGACCACAGGCCCTGCAATGATGCTGCAGAGGATGGGAGACGACAGTGTGGCCGCCACACCCCCCTCCACCAGCCACACACTCCTTCACCAGACACCACCACTCAGGCACTCTTGGCGTTTCCCCGTCAGCAGCCAGGGAACACAGCCCAGCCCCAGCAGTTCCCGCAGGCTCAGGGAGTCCTGCACGTCCCTGGGGGCTGTGCAGGACCAGGGAACCTGGCGGGGTAGGAGCAGCACCCACCTTCCGTGTCACAACCCCAAACTGCACTCGACATCGGTGGCACTCCTCAGCATCCACCCAGTCCGGAGCCTGGCCGGGATAAGGAGAATTGGGTCAGGAGGGGCAAGAGCCTCAAGGAGGGCATCTCCACAGAGCCGCTCAGGAGCTCCTATAGCTAACCAAGGTGCTCTCATGAACAGGGGGGACTGGAAGCATTTGCAGCTCAACAGGAATTACTGATCCCGACGTTATCCCCTCTCATGTTCCTAGAGACTGGGATGCTTTGGGCAGCAGTGCTGCGGGGAGCCACTGAGCAGGGCAAGATGAGAGCAGACCAGCTCCCTGTCCTGGTCACTCTCCCCTCCGTCAGGAATTTCTAGGTTAAACCAGGAGCCCAGAACTGCCCGTGTGGCACCAGGAGCTCTGTGCCCCCAGGCTGGGCTCTAACCTGCACGGAACGGAGAAATGCAGGAGCTGAAGGTTCAGTAGAAGGGGACAGGACAGTGAGGTCTGTCCCACAGCACCAACTCCCTCCCCAGCAGCACAACTCACCCGTTCTGCTGCGAACATGGCATCGCTCTCCTTGAACTCCGGGAATACGTGACCTGGGGGGAGGAGAGCGGGAGCATGGACCTGTCCTGCAAGCACTGAGGAAAGCCTGGGAGGATGGAGCCAGCCCACTGCAGAGCCCTTCCCAGAGGACACCCTGACTTCAGGCCAGTTTCCTGAAGCACACTCGCAGCACCTCATTGCCAACCCTCAGCTGCCAGCTGGGCTGATCCAGGGGCAATGGGGCTGTTCTCTCCCTGCAGTGGGATTCAGTCACTTCAAGAGGTTCATTTAGTACCAGGACACCAAGAAAAACCTCAGTATTGCAAATCCAGACTTTGCTAACAGCAGGCAGGGTCCTGACAGCCCTTCCTTCTCCTGCAAAGCTCCAGAGCAGAAGCTGCTTCGCCAGTTGTGCACCCACCTTTGCCCACAGAGTCCTCACCTTCAACCTTCATTATCTGATAGGTGTCCTGCACCACCTTGTACTTGGGCTCATTGCGGAAGGCGTGAGCCCAGGCCTGGATAAGGTACAGGATCTTACTGCGGACACTGGTCTCCACTTGCCTCTGCAGAAAGGGAGGAGAAAACAAATCTGAGAAAAAGACCCTGAAACCTGAAGGCTGGTGTGAATCTGCTGGAAGAGAAGCCAGAAATACCAGTCAGATAGTTCAGAGACACTTTAGAGTACTTGTGCAAGGTGAAAGCTGTCAGGAAACTGCAGTAAGGACAATTCACAGCAAGGACTGTCTGCTCCTTCAGCACAAACGTGAACACATCCTCAGAGCAGCGTGGACCAAACCTGACAAGGGGTTAGGATGCTTTCAGAAAACACCCACAGAGCCCGGTGCGAGCTCTGCCCTGCCCAGCAGCTCTGCTCAGCTCCCACAGGAGCTGCTTGTCCTGCACTCAGAACACTGCGGCACCTACAGCCACAGAGCTGGGCAGAGAAACAGCGAGTGCCTCACCCAGCACTGCCGGGGCTCCAGGAGCTGGCTCTGGAGGGTGCTGGTGCTGGGCTGTCAGCACCTCCAGCCCCGAGGCTGCTGCCCGGGAGCAGGAGAGGCAGGAAGGATCAGCCGGGCAGCTGCCCTTTGGAGGCTGTGTCACAGTTGAGCTTGGCAAGCCTGTTCCTGCCCCAGCCTCGAGAGCAGCCTGTCATCAGCTGCCCGAGTGACCACATGTCCACATGACCGGCTGCTCCAGAGGCAGAGGAGCACTGTCCAGCTCTGGTTTCAGCTCAGCCCACACACAGTGACTTACTGACCATTCCAAAAATCCTGCATTCCACACGTGTCACAGCCCTCAACCTCCTCAAAGCTGAGACCATTTTACCAGCACCGGGCATTCACAAGCAGCAGAATGTAGGAGGAGGATGGGTCTGCAGCAATTATGGAACTACAGAGGCAGAGAAGGAGTGCAGAGAATCACAGACCCTCTTGATCTGACCTCCTCAGCACCTGGAGTGGCTGCTCTACTACCCCTGGCCATCACATTGCATCACTGTTCCTGGCTCAGCAGATTCTGCACGGAGACTGAGCCAGCCCAAGCAGAAAGGTGACAGGAGACGCCCTGGTACCGTGCGCGAGGTGACGGGACCTGCACAGCTCATTCACCAGGTATCTGGATCATCCAGTCGCCTGTTTCTGGTGAAGACAGAGGCTGTAGGGAAGGAATAGCTACGCCTCGCCTGGGCATTGCACTCTGGGCTGGGAGCAGGAGACAGGAGTCCCCAGTTCCACTCCACCTGTGGAAGTCTCCACTCCAGGGACACACAAAGCTCCTGCAGGCATCATGTTATATCAAACTGGCAAGTGACAGCTTGTGCCCACAGCCTGTCAGTGAAAACAGCCAGGTTTACATGCCACAAAGCTCCTCAAATGATTCCACAGGCCAGTGGGACAGCCCCAGTAAAGAGGAAGCTTCTGCCAGCTCTCCCCTTGGTCTTTACCCCCCTGTGTGCCTCACGCTGCACTGTGAAGGGAACTGCTCAAGTCCTCACTGAACTGCCAGAACATGCCCTGGTTCCTTTGCTGCCTCCAGCCAAGCAAAGCGTTGCACCTACCACAAAAGGGCCGAGGCCTTTGCAGCATGTTCCTCCCCGCTCACACTGCAGCCAGACACCACCTGTGCTCTCACAACATCACCTCTCCTGAGCTCCCTACACACCACACCATGATTTGCCCCTTTCTGACACACATTTCCAGACAGTTTCCCTTCTGTTCCTTACACAACAGGAACAGAAACGAGGACACACACGCATCTGCTACTGCTGCTTTTCCAACCTCATTCCAAAACAACAGTAAACCAGGATGTATTTACCTTGAGTATTTCTTTCAGTTCCTCCATAGTCTGTTTATTGGCCACCTCGTCATGGACTGTTTGGCCGCAGTTTTTAACCACTGATTCCATGACCTGCAGGCGCAGAGGACAGTATTAGCCAGACACGTTCTTCCCTCCCTTCAGCCTGTGAGGAATCCCAGCACACGGAAACACAGCACCACGTGAGCAATGGGTTACACTGGGGCTGCATGAGTAAAGCCGCACTGGGGCCTGAGCTCCCCTTCACCTTCACAGGGGCCTCTGCACTGCTGCTGTGTAGAGACAGACCTCAGGGAGGGCGGCTCAAGTCCCATTTTGCCTGTTCCTAAAGCTGAGATGGGATTAAAGAAGGAAAACCTTGTGCTGATCAGTCACAGAACCCCTGTGCTAGAGTTGGGAGGAGGCTCCAAGCTGCAGCCTGATGCTCGGTGCAGCACAGAAGGCTTGGGAAAGCCGAGATGTTCCCTGGCCAGTGCTATGGTTCGGACTGACGTTACCTCCAGCGCGTAGAGAGCCACGTGGGGATTTTTGTCATTGACTTTCTTCTTGATTGCGTTGACGGCATATTTTGCTCTGGGTAAAGAAAGAGAGAACGTGTCCTCAGGGAATGAGGAATCCCAGGGGAGATTCCACCTGCTGCTGGTAACCTGCCAACCCCCACCCAAACAAGAGTCTATATATGCTTAGAATCACAGAATGGTCAGGGTTGGAAGAGACCTTAAGATCATCCAGTTCCAGCCTGCTTCCCCCAGGGCAAGCTGGGAGGAGAAGGAGTAAGCATACTCGAGCCCGAGTTTCTCTGAGGGTTTCAGGCCAGAGGTGACCGGCACCTCCTGAGCCTGGGAGGACGTCAACAGGTCAGGGTGGGTGCGATGCAGGCCAGGGTGGGTGCGCTGTGCTGTGAGGGGGTGACGGGGCCAGGGAACACTTACTGGGTGTCTCCCTGCCGGATCATGTCGCAGATCTGCAGGATGGATTCCCAGTCCGTCTCCAGCAG